TTCTCAGGATCTGTAATGACTTTAGTGAGAGATAGAGGACTTAGGTGCTATTATTCTCAGGAAGTCGTAAGTTAGTCTGAGAAAGTCGTAAGTTAGTCTGAGAGTCTTAAGTTAGTCTGAGAAAGTCGTAAGTTAGTCTGAGAGTCTTAAGTTAGTCTGAGAAAGTCGTAAGTTAGTCTGAGAGTCTTAAGTTAGTCTGAGAGTCTTAAGTTAGTCTGAGAGTCTTAAGTTAGTCTGAGAGTCTTAAATTAGTCTGAGAGTCTTAAGTTAGTCTGAGAGTCTTAAGTTAGTCTGAGAGTCTTAAGTTAGTCTGAGAGTCTTAAGTTAGTCTGAGAGTCTTAAATTAGTCTGAGAAAGTCGTAAGTCAGAATGGAGATGACCTAAGGAGAGAGAAACACAATGACGGTGCAGTAAATTAAAATCGACAATTCCCACGGATGTTGCACAAAACTTAACGTGAACTCTCGACTTCCCACTTAAGAGAAAAAGAAAAATATCGTACGAAATTCAGTGAAATTAATGAATCTCGGAAGCTTAAACAGATAAAACTATATTAGCATTTTTATCATTATTTTCTTACGGACTCATAGATATATCGTGAGAGAGAGAGAGAGAGAGAGAGAGAGAGAGAGAGAGAGAGAGAGAGAGACTCACAATGTTGACGGTCTTGGAGCAGAACGTGAAAATATTATCACATCAAAACTCTATTCACTATAAAAACATTGCCTCAAAACTCCTCCTCACCAGGTCACATTTTCAACAATTTTAAAACATCCTGACGAAATACTGTTCTTTTTCGTCTCAACATTTGTTCAACTCGTCTTTTACGACAAGTGACGAATAATTAATCCTTCACAAACTTCTAACTTTCTTTAATCTGAAGTTTGGAAAAGTTCTTATTGGTGTATAAATTTGTAATGGTGTTCAAAGACAGGTTCAATAACGACAGGTATAATGACAGGAGGAAAAAATAAATACTGTCAGTCCCCTGTCTTATCCATGAACTCTGGTAATCGTGAACCTATGAATCCGAGACATTACACAGTGGACCCAACAAGGTGTCATGTGTCGGATTCACTGGTCCAAGCGTCTCACGGGGTTCATGGATGGGAAAGAGACCTCGTCATTAGTTACCTTCCAGCAGCGTTCACCCGTTTCCTCGTCACTGGATGATGATGACTTGTACCCAGGTTATTTTTTCCCCTAAATTGTTAAGCGAGAGAATTTCCCCTATACAACGAAAGGTCCTTAATAATGCCAAGACCGTATCGACCCGCTCATTATAAGGCACAGGATAAAAGTTTAGGGGTAAAATATGATTAAAGTTAACCACAAATGATACAGACACTTATTTTTTTACGTAAGAATATCTCCCGTCAGTAGGAGGGAGGGATGGAGGGAGAGAACGAGGGAGGTAAGGAGGTGAGGAAGGAAGGGAGATAAGGGGGAGGGACAACACAAGCCTCCTGTACGTCCTCCTCGGCGCCCAGCTGCATCGTCAGGAGCCACCACCGCCGCCCACTGATCCCCACTCTATATAAACTTGTGGGCAGCTGGTCGATACCTGATCGCGGCAGGTTAATGACCTCATCTTGTTGACGAGTCTGTGGACCATATCCCCCTCTCCCTCCACCATTACACTCCCTCCCTCCCTCCACCATTACACTCCCTCCCTCCCTCCACCATTACACTCCCTCCCTCCCACCATTACCTCCCCTCTCCTCCACCATTACCTCCACCACTCCCACCATTACACTCCCACCCTCCACATTACACTCCTCCCTCCCTCCCATCACCACCTTACACCCTCTCACCATTACCATACACTCCCCCTCCCTCCACCATTACACCCTCACCATTACCCCCCTCTCCTCCCACCATTACTCCCCTCTCCTTCCACCATTACACTCCTCCCTCCCTCCACCATTACACTCCCTCCCACCCTCCACCATTACTCCCTCCTTCCTTCACCATTACCTCCCTCCTCCCTCCACCATTACACTCTCCACCTCACCATTACCTCCCCTCCCACCCTCCACCATTACCTCCCTCCCTCCTCCTCCACCATTACCTCCTCCCTCCCTCACCATTACACTCCCTCCCATCCTTCCCTTCACCATTACACTCCCTCCATCCTTCCTTCACCATTACTCCTCCCTCCCTCCACCATACTCTCCTCCCATCCCTCCTTCACCATGGTCTTCTCTACATACACCCAGTCACCTTCCTCTTTTATCACCACTTTCCTCTTCCCTTTACGTTTATAGTCATCTCGGTTCTATCTCTTCTCTCTCTCTCCCCCCTCTATCACATTCTGTCTCCCCTCAAGCCCTCACTCCCCCTCAGCCCTCACACCTCTTCCCTTCCTGCCCCTCAAGCCCTCACACCTCTCCCCTCACCTCTCCCCTCAAGCCCTCACACCGCACACCTCTTCCCTTCACACTCCCCTCCAAGCCCTCACACCTCTCCCTTCACCCTCCCCTCCAAGCCTCTCACCCTCCCCTCCAAGCCCCTCCACGCTCCCTCTCCAGCCCTCACCGCGCCCCCACCAAGCCCTCCCTCTCAAGCCCTCACACCGCTCCCCCTCCAAGCCCTCCACCCGCTCCTTCCAGCCCTCACACCTCTTCCCTTCACACGCTCCCCTCCAAGCCCTCCACACACACTCCCCTCCAAGCCTCACCCTCACACAGCTCCTCCCTCCCTCCCCCCTCACAGCCCTCACACCTTCCCCGCCCCTCCAAGCCCTCCACACTCCTCTCCAAACCCTCACACGCTCCCCTCCAAGCCCTCACCTCTTCCCCTCACCGCTCCCCTCAAACCTCACCCACCCCCTCCAAGCTCCCCGCTCATCCAAGCCCTCACACCGCTCCCAAGCCCTTCACACCGCTCCCCCTCCAAGCCCTCACACCGCTCCCACTCCAAGCCCTCACACCGCTCCCTCTCCAAGCCCTCACACCTCTCCCCCTCAGCCCACCACAGCAGGTCTGGTCGTAGTCAACACACCTGCCTTCACCCGCCTTATCTACACCAGTATTCTTTATTCACACGTGTCTCTTGGCTTTGTTTATCTCTTCATCGTAACGTGTGGACCCGGGTTCGATCCTCGGGCAGGGTGAAACTATGGGCAGGTTTCTTTACGCCATTTGCCTCTGTCTACCCAGCAGTAATTGGGAACCTAGATGTTAATCGATTTGTGGATCGTGTTCCGGGGTAATGGTTAGCCAGTGCAGTTGGCGAGTTGTCCGGTCTTCTCGGACTATTCCTGGACACTGGGTCACGCAGCTCGTTAACTCAGGGTGTGGTTGTTGTGTTGGCGACAGCTTCTACACAGGTAAAACCCATAAATTTGACTAACAAATTATACAACCACCAGGGATAACTTTGTCAATACATACATACATACATACAGGGTACATACATACATACAGGGTACATATATACATACAGGATACATATATACATACAGGGTACATATATACATACAGGGTACATACATACATACAGGTACATACACAGGGTACATACATACATACAGGGTACATATATACATACAGGATACATATATACATACAGGGTACATATATACATACAGGGTACATACATACATACACACCCTGCCCTCTCCCCCACCTTCACCTCAGGAAGGAGCGCATAAATTCCCTGCCACTTGTGTGCAGTTTCCTCACCTCAAACTTTCCCACACAATAAATTTCCCCAAAACGTTAATTAGTTTCCCTAAAACCTTCCGGGTCCTACATTATTCCCCCCACATCTTGTGAAATTCCCTGACTAATACTCTTGTGATAGTTTTCATTCCCCAAACCTTACACAATTTACAAACATGAACTCTTACACAACCTTCATACACATACACTTACACAACTAACACTTCTACCAACATACACATTACACATTCCTAAACCATTCCCAAATTCCAATTCCTAGGTCATGTGATTCCCATTCCTAAAAAAAAAACAGTAATGAGCTCACTATAACCCACAATCCTTCACAATTCCTACACCTCATTTGCATATTCTCATGACCTCACTAGGATTACATAGTGATTCGATTTGCGTTCGGATTCCTCTGCAAATATCGAGGTGATGGTGGTGGTGTGAACCCTTGTGAATCATTGTGAACTCTTGTGTACCTTTGTGAACCTTTGTGAATCTTTGTGAATCCTTGTGAATCTTTGTGATATCTTGTGAACCCCTGTGAGTCTTTGCGATATCTTGTGAACCCCTGTGAGAATCTTGTGAACCCCTGTGAACCCTCCGAACCCTTGTGAACCCCTGTGAACCCTTTGAGTCATTGTTTACATTCGGATGTTTCGTTGTTTCATTCGTAAATCTTATCGTCATTATCTCTCGTTTCGATCTTTCCATTATAATGCCAATAGATTCAACTAAACTTTCTACCTGCATAGCCTCTAATAGTGTGTGTGGTATGAGGGGATAAGGGGGTCTTTGTTGATGTGCGTGGCAGACAGACAACTGGAGGAGGAGGAGGAGGAAGCGTTGTTACCTTGCCAACCTGGAGGCGACGGAGGGGAGGACGGAGGAAGAGGGGGAAGGGAGGGAGGAGGGGAAGAGAGGAGGAGGTCTCTGAACTACTGAAGGTGTGATAACAAGTTTTTCCAAGAGGGAGAGCGAGGAAGACTGGATCAAACCACACACACACACAACCTGTTTATCAGCTTTCCGTGACCGCCCCTGCCATATACAGATCACGCCGCTGCCTCCTTCTCCTCCTCCTTCGTCGCCTCCTTCTGTTGACGCCTCCCCATTTACCTCCTTACCTACGCCCATACACGGCCGCTGAGACCTTGCTATTTATCCCTGAGTGAAGATTTGTCGCAACTCTATATTTTGGGGGAAATGGTGGGGTGGGGAGGGAGGGAGGAGGGAGGGAGGGAGGGAGGGAGGAGGAGGGAGGAGGAGGGAGGGAGGGAGGGAGGGAGGGAAGGGAAGGGAAGGAAGACGACATCCTATAGTACTCACCAGGGCCCAGCTCGATGAGGAAGGGCAGTCTGTCAGGCAGGAAGTATGGGTCACGGGGGCGGTGGTGGTCATGGGCGTCTCCTCCTGGCCCACCCCCGCCGCCCGCACCTTTCACCGGCTTCTTCTTCCGCTTGCGGGGGCCGTGATCCGCAGGCCGCCGTCGCACGTGGAACATGATGGATCCTGCAACCAAGAATATCATATTTTGTTAAGTCTGGATATTGAACACCTTAACATGTTAATTAACGTGATATTTATTACACACAGTGGATCACCTGAAGAATAAGCACCCCAGGTTAGGTTAGGATAGGATTAGGTTAGGATAGGGTTAGGATAAGTTAGGATAGTATCAGGGTGGTTAATCTTCAGGTGAAATCAGCTGGGGTGGAGATTCTTCAGGTGTTCCCCCAAAACAGGAATACAATAACAGTACAACAGGTAACATGCTAATTAAAACAGCCACACCTGTACCTGCTTATAACACAACAGGTGAGATAATTACCTGGTAATATGACTTACTGTAACACAACCGGTAATTATGTAAACCTTCATTATGGTTTTTACACACACACACACACACAGTACACTGAGGAATCACATGTAAACAAAACTACCCGCGTTTTTTTTTTAACAACATCATTTAAGAACTTAGTTTGCCTTTATTTATTTCATTTACATATAATTTAGGGATCTTATTTCTGCAGCGATGGAGAAAGAGAAATAAAGATAAATACGTTGTTTTTAGGTTAAATAGGACGGTGTGTGTGTGTGTGTGTGTGTGTGTGTGTGTGTGTGTGTGTGTGTGATGACGAGGACACAAGCTTAAGCCGAGTGTGATGACTCCTGACACGACCACCACACATCACCACACTCACTTATTACATCACACCTGCCTCATAACCAACACACCTGCCTCATAAATAACACACCTGCCTCATAAATAACACACCTGCCTCATAACTAACACACCTGCCTCATAACTAACACACCCTGCCTCATAAATAACACACCTGCCTCATAACCAACACACCTGCCTCATAACCACACCTGCCCCATAACCAACACACCTGCCTCATAACTCCCACACCTGCCTCATAACTAACACAACTGCACACCTGCTCAACACACCTGCCCCTGCACCTGCACCTCTATTAACACACCTGCGCCTCATAACACACCTGCCCCATAACTCCCACACCTGCCTCATACACTCACCTGCATCCAACACACCTGCCTCATACACCTCATAACTACACATAACAACACACACACCTGCCCTGTAACACACCTGTCATAACACACCTGCCTCACCAACACCTGCCTCATAACACACCTGTGTACCTACATCTGCTTAACACACCTGCCTCATCTAACATCTATCTACACACACACCTGCCTCATAACACACCTGTCTCATAACACATCTGCCTCATCTTACATCTACCTCATTACACACCTGTCTCGTTAAATCCATTTATCCAAATATTAACCTCCTCACCTCTCCCTCAGTGACCAGACTCGGCCATCACGCCACGAGTCAATTAACGAGGCGGTAGAGCCAGTCAGATGGATTAACCTAGATTGTCATTTATATGTATTACAAGAGAGGCCACACAATTCCTATTATCGTCTCCTCGTCTCCTTTACACGGAAAATTTTATTACCTTATCATTCACAATTCTGTCGTCGCTATGAGATCAAACACACGGTTAATGGTCAGCAACCCCTGACCCCCCTCTCACCCTCCAAGCTGGTCACTGTCAATACCACTCCAAGCTGGTCACTGTCACTACCCTCCAAGCTGGTCACTGTCACTACCCTCCAAGCTGGTCACTGTCTCCCTCCACCACTCCAAGCTGGTCTTGTCACCACCCTCCAAGCTGGTCACTGTCACCACCCTCCAAGCTGGTCACTGTCACTACCCCTAATTGCTCGCCTCCATCACCATGCTACCTATCAGCCAGTCACCAACCTATCAGCCAATCACCAACCTATCAGCCAATATCCAACCTATCAGCCAGTCACCAACCTATCAGCCAATCACCAACCTATCAGCCAATCACCAACCTATCAGCCAGTCACCAACCTATCAGCCAATCACCAACCTGTCAGCCAATCACCAACCTATCAGCCAATCACCAACCTGTCAGCCAGTCACCAACCTATCAGCCAATCACCAACCTATCAGCCAATCACCAACCTATCAGCCAGTCACCAACCTATCAGTCAATCACCAACCTGTCAGCCAATCACCAACCTGTCAGCCAGCCAACCACCTACCTTGGTGATGTCCACTACAAGACTGACTCACCACTCACCCTCACCAATCAGGTCAACAGTACACCACCAAGTCACCGTCTTAGTGGGAAGTAAGCCGGGGCCAGAGACGACAGGCAGCCGAGTATGGGGCCACTCTGGGGGCTAGTGGAGGTGGTGGGGGCTAGTGGAGGTGGTGGGGCTAGTGTGGAGAATGATCAGGGGGCTGAGTGGAGGTGGTGGGGGCTGAAGTGGAAGTGGTGGGGGAGCTGAGTGGAGGTGGTGGGGCTAGTGAGTGGTGGGGCTGAGTGGAGGTGGTGAGGGGGCTGAAGTGGAGAATGAGTGGGGGCTAGTGGAGAGGTGGGGGCTAGTGTGGAGGTGGTGGGGGCTGGTGGAGGTGGTGGGGAGGCTAGTGGAGGTGGTGGGGGCTAGTGGAGGGTGAGGCTGAATAGTGGTGGGGGCTAGTGAGTGTGGTGGGGCTGGTGGAGGTGTGTGGGGCCCAGTGGAGGTGGTGGGGGAGGCTGAGTGGAGGTGGTGGTCTAGTGAGTGGTGGGGGCTGGTGGAGGTGGTGGGGGCTAGTGTGGAGATGGTGTGTGAGGCTGAGTGGAGGTGGTGGGGAGCTACAGAGATGAAGGGGCTGAGGCTCAGGTGGTGGGGGGCTGAAGTGGAGGTGGGGGCTGAGTGGAGGTGGTGAGACTAAGTGTGGTGAGGGCTGGTGGAGGTGGGGCTGAGTGGAGGACCAGGGCTGAGTGGAGGTGGTGGGGGGGCTGAGTGGAGGTGGGGTGTGGGGGCTGGTGGGTGGTGGGGGCTAGTGGAGGTGGGTGAGAACTGAGTGGAAGTTGTGGGTGTATTAGCCTCTGTCACATTAATATTATATAAATATTGAGCATAAAGCGACATAAACATTTGTTCATTCACACCTCCTTGGGTGGACAGCCCATAAAACTGCAGACTCAACCCTCAGTGTGTTGGGAGGCTGTCCGTGTTGAAGTGTGGGTTACTCTCCAACCACCAGGCACCAGACTCAAGAGAGTACAGCCCAGTTCCCCCAGTTCAGAGCCAGACACGCTACACTAAAGTCGTGTCGTGAGACCAGCTCTCCTGACTTTACCTCTCTCTAATGAAATAAGCTAATTACATGCTAACAGCTAATGCTCATTAGTCTGTCAATACCAAATAATTGTACAGACATTACTACCCAATATAACTAGAAAATCACCACGTGTGATTACATTAAACCAAGGAACAACATATGAAGAGAACAGTACCTGTGTGTCTTGTTTAACTTACAAGCTAAGATAATTACAAGTACAACCCAGGACAGCTGTGACGGTTTAAACTATCAACGACTGTATCAAAGGTCACACAGATTACCTGATATCTCACTCAGTTGCATCAAAGGAACCAGCCAGCGACTACCCTACACTCGTTCAGGGAAGTGTTAACAAGTGAGATGGTTTGATGTCATACCACAGCTAAAACATGGGGGCTGGTGGAAGTTGTGGGGGCTGATGGGTCAAGTGCGAGGAAGCCTAGTGATGTGAAGTAAATTGAGGAGCTGGTATATCTTGGGTCGTGGGGGGGCTGATGTAGGTCGTGAGGGGACGATGTGTATGGAATCGTGGGGCTGATGTAGGTCGTAAAGGGGCTGATTAACCAGGTCGTGGGGGGCTGATGTAGTCGTGGGGGCTGATGTAGATAAGTGAAGGCTGATGTAGGTCGTGGGGGGCTGATGTAAGGTCGTGGGGGCTGATGTAGGTCGTGGGGGGCTGATGTGAGTCGTGGGGGGGCTGATGTAGGTCGTGGGGGACTGATGTAGGTCGTAGAGGGGCTGTTGTTGGAGGTCGTGGGGGGCTGATGGGTCGTGGGGGCTGATGTAGGTCGTGGGGGACTGATGTAGGTCGTTGGGGGGGGCTGATGTAGGTCGTGAGGGCTGATGTAGGTCGTGGGGGGCTGTTGGAGGTCGTGGCGGGGGCTTAATTTGGAGGGTCGTGGGGGCTGATGTAGGTCGTGAGGGGGGGGGGCTGCATTACCTGGCCTCTCTGATAACAACCTCGACCAAGAGTTTTTATTCAAAGTTCGATAAATTAATCCCACCCAAAGGAGCTGTTTACGGTGCTGGCCATCAGAGAAGACAAACAAACAAACAAAAAAACCCAAAAAAAACCAGGAAACAAACAAAAATACATAAACAAGGAAAAAAATATACAAATAAAACAAGGACACAAGCAAACAAACAAAGCAGCAAACAAACAACCACTTAAAAGAAACACAAATCAGATACACGTAAAGACAAATCAAGGTGTATTTTAGTCTATATAAAATATAAGTAACAAGTACAGCATTACATAACCCATACATACACACATACACACATACATACATACATACATACATACACACATACACACATACATACATAAAGCTGTTAGTGGTGTATGTTTCTCGTCATTACCTGTCATGTTAACATCTGACAGGTGATGGGTAAGTGAGTAGGTAGCACACTTGTCTCCCTCCCTCTCACACACCTCTCCCAGGCCCACTCCCTCCCTCCCACAGCTCTACACTCCTTCCTCCTTCTCTCCCTCCCTCTCACACACCTCTCCCAGGCCCACTCCCTCCCTCCCACAGCTCTACACTCCTTCCTCCTTCTCTCCCTCCCTCTCACAGCTCCCCTCCTTCCTCCTTCTCTCCTCCCTCCCACCTCCAGGCCCCTCTGCACTCCCCGCAGCTCTACACTCCTTCCTCCTTCTCTCCTCCTCCCCACACCTCTCAGACCCACCCCTCCTCCACAGCTCTACTCCTCCTCCTTCTCTCCCTCCCTCCCACAGCTCTACCTCCCTTCCTCCTTCTCTCCTCCCTCCCACCCCTCCCTCCCACAGCTCACTCTTCCTCCTTCTCTCCCTCCCCTCCCCTCCTCCACAGCT